GTCAGTCCAAGGAGCCCATAATGCCATACAAAATCTAATGGGAGAATCGCGTTTTGACAGATTAAAAAGTATATCAATTGACTAAGGCACAGAGTAAAAAAAATAGCACTGGACATAATACAATAGTTGCATTCGTGAAGAAAATAAGAAAGCCGCCATTTTAATCAGCCTACAAATCCTACGCATCTCGTGCCATCCATACGAATTTTGTAAGAAGGACATTAAAATTACAAACTTGAAATTATAATAGTCACACGTTATAAGTATTTCTAACTTAGATTACATACAAGACTGTTTATTATAAATAACTTGAAAAAAATCAAACTGCTGAAGGAGGGAAGTATTTCTAGTGAATTAGAAAAGTTTAAGATTAATTTAATCCCAGAGGAAAATTGAAACTGTCATAGGACCCTTCACGAATGAAAAGCAAGAGGATTTACATTAGTATTTAAAAGCTTAGATAGACTGATGCGATTCAGGATTCAGATTACAATGACGGAGGTATAAATAAATGCTTAATTAAGACATCTTGGTTCTATTTCAGTTATTTTAGGGTCGATATTCCTGAAGGCTAGTAAATACTTATGAAAAAGGGCTATAAAAAAATATTTCACTTAAATAACAATGGTAACCCACATAGTTAGCTGTTGGTATTACCAGGCCTGTTCATCTCCGCGAGTTTACATCGAAAACAAAACTTTAGTGATGCCTTAACTCAATTTCGAAGTCCTCCTATGTTCTTCTGATTAATTTCGTTGCGGGTCCAATGACAGTTTAACTTTCCCCCGGGACAAACTTGACCTTCATTGGTTGGGTTTTTGTGGCGGTCAAGCTGTAGATCCTGGCTACACAGGAGTTGCAGTGGTTAGAGATGGGTTTCCACCCGGGTAAAAACCCACATGAGGGTAAAAACCCAATAAAAACCCGTTTCATTCCACCCGTGGGTGTTTACACCGGGTGAAAACAAATAATTTTATAATTATTTCAATTGGTATCTTTTCTTTATTTTTATTGAATTTTTCTCATTTAAGTTTATTGATTAATATGTAATAAGTGAAATTTAACACTAATATGCATTTATACGTGGCCAAATCGTAAAATTGATCACGTTATGATGATGTGACCAATTATTTTATAAAATGGTGTTATTTCAAGAATCGTTGAACCGATTTAAAAGAAATTTAGTAGAAACACAATAATTTGTGATCATGGCAAGGACATGGAGGGGGGGATGCCAAAGATGCCAAACACTCTCTTTGATGACATTACGGTATAAAGTTACAAATAACAACACCAACTACAAAGTACTTCTGCTTAAAAACTTNGTGAGTCAGTCAGTGAGTGACAAAATTAAGTAACTTTGACCCGTTATAATTCTTAAACTACTGGTTCAAATTGAATGAAATTTTAAATATACCGTGTCTTTACAATGCCTGCATAGCTAATGAAAATTCAGCCTTCTAGTTTAATCCACAACGAAGTTACAGGCGGTCGAAAATGGCCTGAATTGCTTCGAGAAAAGGATGGTACGGCCGTGCCGCTTTTTTGCTCGACTTGGTGGGGGCACTGCCGTGCCCCCAGATCTGTCATTCTCGCATAGCATAGCATAGCATGAATGTGTAGCTAACCCTCATTTTTGATTTTGATTTTTTTTAAAGTTAGCAAGAAGGCGCTGGATGCAGGCCGCTACCAACCGGGCGATGTGGAAATCATTGTAGAAGGCATATGTTAAAAAGTGTACCTCCTGTGACTGTACTGATGATGATGATGATGATAGCTTAGCCGCCAATTTTAATAAAAATGGTCCAGCAGCAATAAAAGATAGATAAAAAGGATGAGTAATCTATCTATTTGGCTAGACATTCCAGAGATAGCTAACATTCATAAAATGTTATCATTTATTACTTGTGTAATAAAAGAGAGAGAGCAGTTTTTGTAAGTTTTATTTGTGACAGGTAATCTCGGAACCACATCACCAATTTGAATAATTTCTTTACCATTTCATAAGGTAACATGGTTCCGCATGCGTCTAGCGGACTTCCACTGCTGAACATAGGCCTCCCCAAATGATTTTCCACATCGCCCGTTTGGTAGCGGCCTGCATCCAGCGCCTTCCTATTACTTCTTGGAGGTCATATTATATTCGTTCGTTCGTTTCGGCCAAATGACGTCCACTGCTGGACAAAGGCTTTCCCCAAAGATTTTCATAACGACCGGTCCTGCGCTTCCCGCATCCAGGTTCTTCCAGCGATCTTCACCAGATCGTCGGTTCACCTAGTAGGAGGCCTGTCCACGGTACGTCTTCAGGCCCGTGGTAGCCACTCGAGAACTTTTCTGCCTTAACGGCCATCAGCTCTACTAGTACAAGTGAACGAATCCAAGGGGACAAGTTGGTAGATTTTACGAAAAAATCTCAAAAAACCGTCAAATATTGGGACCCAAAAATTGTCACAAACATGATTGATTATTTCATTACTCCACACTAGGTTTCAGCGATAAGATAACTGGCCTAGGACTCAGATAAAAATAAATGACTAAAAAACGCGATAACTGTATCACAATGTCATAGCCTGGAGTGTATCTAATATTTGTTATTTTAAATCCTACTTAGACCCGATATGGGCGCGTATTTAAAATGATAAAATATACGGTTCACTAATGAACGTGTATTTTCTAAAATTAACTGTATGAGCACATCGCTATTTATTTGTTCTGAAAAAATTAAAGTTAGGGAAATATTCTTCAAAAAATAACTGCAAATCCTAACTTAGCCAATATTCAACTTTCAGATCAAATTAAATATCCAACAAAAAAAAATATTTTCCTCATTTTAAGTTTTCATGAAAACTTAACACACACGTCATCCACCTATTCTATTTTGTCTATGGACGACTAGTCAATGGCACCCTTGTCTATGGCGCGAATAAAACCATTACACGTGAGCCGCAGAACAAATCCCCACGAGCGTTCAGTTCGTGAAAAGCACCGTGTCGTATGGCCCAAGTTCTAAACTGTTTCGTCGAAATATTCTTTTTTGATATTTTATGTTCCTTATTAGAGAAAAATATTAGGTTTTCAATAAATATGCGGCTTATTTCTCTCTCAATTCCTAAAATTAATAGTAATTACGTAAAGAACATTACTTAGTAGGTACCATGACAATCATCAGTGCGATTGACATTGCTTTATTTGACGTTTGTCAATGAAAATCGATCGTTTGAAAAGTAAGTTCCTGCTTACTAAACACTTCGTTATAAAACGAATGCACGCCTACCCAATTAATGCCATCGAGTCCAATTTTCGGTTACTTCTTTCAACCGCAGAATTTTGCATCTTTTGCTCTTTTTGACAGAAAACAGTTTAAAAAACAGAAGTAGGTAACTCTTTTTTACCTCCCCAACCGACCTGACCAGCGTGGAGAGTGTGTACCAAATTCTCCATCATCATCATCATCATTTCAGCCACAGGACGTCCACTGCTGAACATAGGCCTTCCCCAATGACTTCCTCATCGCACGGTTGGTAGCGGCCTGCATCCAGCGCCTTCCTGCTACCTTTATCAGGTCGTCGGTCCACCTTGTGGGTGGACGTCCCACGCTGCGTTTTCCGGTACGCGGACTCCACTCCAGAACCTTGCTGTCCCATCGGCCGTCAGTTCTGAGTACTATGTGCCCTGCCCATTGCCACTTCAGCTTGCTAATCCGTCGGGCTATGTCAGCGACTTCAGTTCGTTTACGGATCTCCTTATTTCTGATTCGATCTCGTAAAGAAACACCGAGCATAGCCCTCTCCATAGCACGCTGCGCAAATTCTCCATATGCCTTATGGCCAATTGAAGGGGGTCATCCTCCTACAGCGGAGACTAAATGAGCTGATGATGATAATTACTATTTATTTATGTTTGAAGCGCGAATTTTCCTATCCACCAATTGTTGTTTTAATACGTTATCGCGTAACCAAGAAATACGTCGGCCTTTAAAAGATCTAGCTAGCCAAAATCGATATCCTTGGACTGCACAGCTGTGCAAACGGTCTAATACGTGCAAAATGGCCGTTTTGCTCGTTTCAATTACAACATTTATCTGTGTCGTCGGTTCTAAAGATTTTTTTACCATTTAACGCCTCGCTATTGGCGACACCCAACCCTTTGTCTATGGACCCTTAATCTATGGTTTGTATCTATGGACTCCACGGTTATGTAAAGTTTAACAGTCGATTTTGGGAGCTAGTTTGCTCGAAACAAAATGTAGGTTCTAGAATTCATGTTTTATTTACACTTTTTTTATAATAATTCATGGAATGGGCTCTAACACGAGTGTGTTCACTTGTGTAAATATCTTTTGTTATGTGTTAGAAATGCGCAAAATCTAGTATACATAGAGAGCTCATAGCAGAAGCATATCCACGCTTCTAACTTATATTCGTATCAATTCAGTTGTTTAAAAATACAAAACACGAAATGTAATAGACTTTTTTGGTTATCGTGGTCTGTTGTTTTTTATTGTGAAAGATTTTCGGAATGTTGCCAGTGTCATAATCTAAAATTATGTATTCCCTTTAACCATACTTGGTTTCTGATAGGGTAAGATATTTTTGTATGTTTTGTCATTTGCTCGACGCCAGGCTTGGTTATTTTAAGGTGTTTGATACTGTAATAGAATCGTATTCAATGCTAATTTTGGTACTATTTATATCCTTAAAGATATCGATTACTTACGATAAATGTAGAGTTAGCGAATTTATATATAACCCATATTTAACATATCCACAACAGTCAACATGTCACCGTATATAGGACGCGAATGCGTGTTGAATGGCATTTTATCTTGAGTGAAAAAGATAAAATTATATAATATATGCAGGTTTTATCTAGCGCTATTTGTACATGCGAAATTTGGCGATACAACGAATATTTTTATCTTTGATAACAATTTAGAAACTATGATTAGTTGGTATTAGTTGCATTATCAGTGCAGGCGCTCCGTGCATGTGTGATAACCAATTTAGTACGTTTTTGGGAGATTTTTGATATACAATTATTTATTCAACGTTTGGAAATTGATGCGTTCGTATGGATTGAACGACGTTAACCACCGTGGTGAGTTTAATTTCATTAATAGATTAGATATATAGATAAACCCTTGTCATATTAGATGTAAATCTGGATTGCTTAGCTACTGAGACATAGTTCTTAAAGTTGTGTAAAAAAAAGAAAAACTGTAACCGGCCTTGAATTTTCTTTTTTGTTCGGAATAAAAGTTACTTTGTTCTCTGTGGCTTGCATAAGGGTAGCCAGTGCCATTATTAAAAAAGAGTTGCAAAACTTCTTACGAGTTCTCAACTCTATTCGCGATCCTGGCAGGCAAGAAATAGTGTGCAAAATCTCTAAAAAGTTTGCATGCTGTTGATCTTCCATCACCTCTCTAAGTGTAGGTCGAGTTTGAAAACAAATCGTAGACAATACCACACTGGCCGATACAGTCTACCACTCATACACCCTAAACATCCTTATTTCTCTACTCCTAAGGATCATATTCTTTTTGCTGCTGCCTGTACTAGTTGCGAGGCAGAACAGTGGGCAGGTTATGTAAGTCCTTAGTGTGATAATAATAGGGATCACATGTGGTCTACTTGTGTTCGCGGGTGTAATAGTGAGAGACAATAGCAGGTCGGGTTACGGCGGCCGATTAGCACTATGGCACGGTTATAGAGGTTGACCCATTCACGAAAGTGATTTCGAATAGAGATCCGCGGGTTTCTTAGAAGAGTTGCTATACATAGAGGCGTTATAGGATATTCAATGTGACAAGCATGTATGCCATAGAATGTGTCTGAGTGTTTATGACGCCTAAAAACGTTTTCACACTTAAACCGTTGAACCAATGACGAATGACGATGAGTTTTTAAAAGAGACAAATCTATCGAAAACTGATATAAGCTAAGTTCGCCAATAAACTTGAAGGGGGTGAATAAGGGGATAAATAACATATTTACATTTTTGTTTATTTTACTACACCACTCCCAGGTAAGAAACGTGCTAAAACGTGTACGGACATAAAGACTGTTCACATTATATTAGTTTCTCAGCACTTGCCATATGTTTGTCTCGAAGCGCTGGTAGGGCCCAAAAGATAAGGAGACATGTAAAGTGCCCCATAAGGGCTACCTTTTCTTTTTTTATTATTTTCTATTGACGTTCATAAGTGCCACTTGTGGTCTAAACTGAATAAATAAATATTTTTGATTTTGATTATTTATTGAAATCAATTTATTAATTCGACCGCATAAACCTGTTTTATGATGCTCAATTTATATAAGTGAGATATTTAAGAAAAAGAGACACTGAATAGAATTGTAAGAGCTTTAAATTCGATATTAAGAGATATTTATACCATATCAAACTGCATTCAGTAGCCAAACGCCCAAGGATTTACGACGCCTGATAACAAAGCCACTGCAATATCTGATAGCTGTATTATCGCACACATTCGACAACTTTTCTGATGTACACGCCAAATATAGGCCACGATACTTTAGTTTGTTCGTTTCAGCCGAAAGACGTCCACAGCTGGACAAAGGCCTCCCCCAAGGATTTCCACAAAGACCGGTCCTGCGCCGCTCGCATCCAGCCTCCCGCGACCCTCACCAGATCGTCGGTCCACCTAGTGGGAGGCCTGCCCCCGCTACGTCTTCCGGCTCGTGGTCGCCACTCAATAATATAGCCACTCAAGATACCTACTTTACTAGCTTAAAATACATAATCTATAGCTAAACTTCTATTTCATATTGAAGCCTACCATGCACTTCACTATGGGGGCCCATTAAGGGTGGATTCGACCAAACAAGAGTAATTATTAGTCTCAGAATAAATCGTCAGTTATTAGACATTTTGACATATTTCCCATACAGAAACCGTCAATGTGCCAGTTATACCAGGAGTTATTCTCGGATAAAAGTTTGGTCGAATAGGGCCTAAGTCGGATAGTTTTGTAGAAACGGTAGAAAAAACAGTCCATTACGTATTTCACAAGAACATCGGGCACGATTTTCCTACACAGGGTTCGAAAATTCTGTTCTCTTTTACCTAACGAATAAAATCTTCAGTTTAATTCATAATTACGAGTATTTAATTAGGCAAGCCAAACTAAAACATACCCTTATTGATTGCATAATAAAAACTAGGTACTTTTGCAACACCTTATATGCCTTAAAGTTTAGATAAGTACCAAACTCAGTATCTAATGTCCATAAAAAATAATAAATAAGGTAAAGTTACGCAATTCAGAATAGAGTCTTGTGTAATACAAAAGCAGAGCTTCGTCATATCATTTTACATCACTTTTTAGGGAAAACTATAGGGAAACAAGGAAGTAACACCACCAACAATGGCGTGACGTCATAACACCCGCCCACCCTAAAACTTCTCAATTGTACTCCATGTTCAAAGAACATGAGTTATTTTTAACTTAAGATAAAAGCTTTTGACACTACCTGTGGTGTTAGATGCTTTTTCGTAATATTCTTGTTTTTATTTGAAACTAGCTTTCCGCCCGCGGCTTTGCACGGAGTTTTCCCGGAAATTATTCGATTTTTTTCTCGCAGTAAAAACCATCCTTGCACTTCAAGAATATAAAAAAAGAATTAGTAAAATTGGTCCAGGCGTTGTTGAGTTATTCGCTTACCAACACATTTTGCAATTCATTTTTATATTATGGAAGATTATAATCTAACTTAAGATAATAAGCATATTTTAACCATGTAATATTATTTATTTATATTAACCGGCAGACAGTGGTGACTGAGTTTGTTGCGGCACTTCTTCTCAGCACTTGCCAAATGTTGGTCTCGATGCGCTGGTAGGGTAAAAAGATAATGAGACATGTAGAGGAGCAATATATTTGACGATTTGTAAGAACTATTTAATAGTCTATACAAATAAAGAAATTTTGACTTTATTATCTTCCCATCGCCACAAAAAAGAGGGCAAGAGGAAGACCTCGAACCTGGATGACGAATGTCCAAAAGGACATGAAAGTATTGAAACTCTACGAACAAGACGTTCAAGATAGAATAAAATGGCGGCTCATGATTGGGAAAGCCGACCCCGCGTATCGGGATACGGCGAGGCAGAAGAAGAATATTCATCGTCATCATTTCAGCCACAGGACGTCCACTGCTGAACATAGGCCTACCCCAATGACTTCCACATCGCACGGTTGGTAGGGGCAGAGTAAATACGGCGCAACTCCCCGCTAATCCACGTTAAATTTTGTCAGTGTGTGCGTGCGCGCCGCATAGGTACGTATTGGCGCGCTCACATACAAACCGCGCTCGGTGCGTTTCTATGAAGATGACCTACTCATTTGTATTTACTCTGGTAGGGGCCTGCATCCAGCGCCTTTCTGCTACCTTTATCAGATCGCTGGTCCACTGGTACAGAAGAATATTATTTATTATCTATTACCTACAGTAACACGACTAGATTAATGCTAGATACGTAATACGAGCTGGTAGCACCAGTATTGTCTTTGGTTAGTTATTTCCCAAATTGATACAGTGATAAACACTTATCATTTAGATATAAATCACTGATCCGGACTAGATTATGATTACGTTTTGTTAATAATCAAACGTTTTATTTTTGCACGTTTAATATTGTTTCTATTGGGCCACAGTGATTTGATTTCTTTAACATCGGGTCTGCAATTTTTATTAAAGGTTTGAACAAACTCCCCAGACCAGGGTTTCCCAAACTATGGGTCGCGACCCAGTGGTAGGTCGCGAGCTAACATTGAGTGGGCCCTGCCTGTAGAACGACACACCACTCTACCGATCGAACCGCTGGGCAGCGGGAAAAATTTCATATAGGTGGATCCTGAGTTTAGGAACTTGTATTAGATGAGTCGTAGCCTAGACTACTTTGGGAACTACTGCCCTAGAGTATTTTCGTAGACAATTAGGTAAAGTACAAAACCAATAGAACTTAACGTATATCCTTCTTGCTTACCTACCATAGCGATCACAATCGATACCGGTCACCGTGATAGGACTTTATAGAACTACTTAGAATAGCCGCTAAAACTTAACAAAAAGAATACAAAATTAAAAGCAATTCTTCTTTTTGTCGTGTCGACAACAAACCTACACAGCATCAGCCTAAAACTCCGCCACAAGAATGGCGTTGTCAGTAGCCTTCATTAAATCTTCCTGCGTGCCGTTGTTTGGGCACTCAGGGCACGACATTATGTGCTTCGTCGACTGATGAACAAAACGACACTTGCACTCCAAGTTTGAGTCATCCTAGAATGCCCACCTGAAAACATTGTCCTTGACAAAAGCAATTGAGCTTAAGGTTCTTCCTTCTTGCGTTACATCAAAGTAACCTCGCATATTCTACGGCTTTACGGTCCCCATCGACCAGTGGATACGCAAAGCATTTTCCGACTGAAAAAACATGGTTTTGCAATAATTGAACATTGTAGGATCAATTTATAGGTCACAATCCACGTCAGAACTTTTGACCTTAAAGCTTTATTATCGACCAAGGTAAGCCTCAATGCCTAACAATAACAAATTCCTGAAACGTGAAGGGAAACCTCAAAAAGGCAACTTACTCGAAATAAAGGCAGAACTTACTCCAAGTTCGAAGATATGGCCGCTGTAAGGCTGCCTAACCTTGCTCTGGTTTTATTGGGAAACTTCATTGTTACTAAGGATTGCTTGTCCAACCATTGGGCATATCACAAAAACATATAACAGATATTTTTATATAAAAAACTAACTTTCCGCCCGCGGCTTCACCTGCGTGGAATTTTGTCTGTCACAAAAAAACTTTATCTCGCACGTCCCTGTTTCGAAAACCGGGATAAACACTATCCTATGTCCTTTCCCGGGACTCAAACCATCTCTATGCTATTTTCATCAAAATCGGTTCAATGGTTTAGGCGTGAAAGCGAGACAGACAGACCGACAGACAGACCGACAGACAGACAGACCGACAGACAGACAGTTTCGCTTTTATATTATTAGTATAGAAGTAGGTATAGATTATCTGCGCACGCGCAATTTCTTTGCAATTATAGCGCATCTCTAGGTAATTGTTTACACATACACATAAAAGATTTCTGATATATCTCAATGTAATCAAAAGCTTTCGCGCTGTTGATAAAATAAATGAGACCAACCAAGGCTCAACGTGTCCACCGAAGCGCAGTCTTTTTTCCTTTTCGGCTAATCCGGGTGATTCAAGACTTTTTGTCACGGGACTATTCCCACTTCTCTTTCTCACCACTGCAAATCCTGTGTAGCCAGGATCTACAGCTTGACCGCCAATAAAAACACAACCAGTGAAGGTCGAGTTTGTCTCGGGGGAAAGTTAAACTGTCATTAGACTTTTTGTCAGGAAAACATTTAATTGCATATCCACTTATGTCGGGCTATCTCTGCCAACGATTCTAGCCCGCCATGTCTTATAACCAAATTGGGAACCAAACTAATAGACAGTGATTTTACATTATCCATCCCAAGACCTTGCGAGTCGTGAGAGTCTCCTATAACTGTAGCAATTTAACTTCTTTTGTTATCGGTTTTTTCCTGCTACCGTCAAGAAAGTAGCGTAAATAGTGAGTTATTGTAAAAGTTGCATCACGTCACCTCACTATCTCACTCTAAATAGGGCAATTATTAAAAACAGAAACATAATTTTATAGGGCGCAATAACTCAATGCAATAATTTGCAACAAACAAACACGCTGACATATCTATGCAAGACATTATTTTTTATCGCGCGACCTGTTTTTTAATCTCTATTTATATAATAAGTGAATAATATTGCATAGTTAACTTACATAAGTGTCGCTACAATGGAAATTTCCAAAATAATAGTTTTATATTTTTATTTGCGCGTAAGTAGGTACCTACAGTCAGCGTCAAATAGTTCATGACACCCAAAGTGGCCAAGAAGTTTTAACCGCCTCTGTGGTCTAGTAGACCACCTGCTTCAGACGCGGAGGTCCCGGGTTCGATTCCCAGTGGGGGCAGAATTTTCAGTTCGGTTTGGTTGGTGGTAGGGCTTGTTCCAAGCCCGCCTGGCTAGCTATCACCATCTTACCTAAGTCTGTCGCCATAACAACAATGTTATCAGCATTGTTGTGTTCCGGCAGTTAAAGGTAAGATAGCCAGTTCCTCTGTGATTGAGGATTTCGGGTGATGCTCGCTTGCACCTTCGGCCTGATCATCACTTACCATCAGGTGAGATACAGGCCAAAAACCACCTCCTTGTGGATAAAAAAAAGTTCGCAACACGTCTTGTCCTGATTAATTGTTTCTTTTTTTTTTTGTGCCAAATAAATTATTCTTTCTTTCTTTCTTTCTTTCTTTGTTACAACTGGAAAAAGGTGTTGTCAACTTTTTGGCCACTTTGGGTGTCACGAACTACATAATTGACGCTGACTGTACAAAGTATTTACCATTTGCCCTACGCAATAGGAAATAGTATCTTACTAAGATAACTTTCTTTATTGTCTGTTTTATATTAAAACTATTTATATTAAAAGGTGAATTAAGTTATACTCGTATCTACTGTCAAGAAAAAAATCATACTAAAACCCATGGTCCAAATATTACGTTTTTGGAATGTATTATATTGACAGAAAATTACTATAATACAATCAGGACCCTCTTAATATCTTGAACCCTCGAAAGCAAGCAATCCCATATAAATAAGAGGTAGGTACTTAAACAATATTTTATAAAATTTCCTTATTGCGTCAAATGGTTAAAATTTAAAAATATACCATAAAATTATAATTCACTAATTAAAAGGAAAAATGCATACAGGTGGTGTTGATAAATAAATATGCCTATTATGAAATTATCTACCTAAAAATGATTATTATATTTTAAAATGCATGAAATTAAATAAATGAACAAATAATGTGTTCTATTTAAAAATAATCAAAAGAGTGACATTTTAAATATATTTTAGTTTCGATTCTACTCTCTTCGTAATCGGTAGTCACATATTAAAATTTGTGGAACACAAAAATATTTAAAATGTAGGATCAGATTAGTAAATAGTTAAGAACTATAACAACACTGGCCGAAAGAATTTTATTCTATTTTAGAAACCAAACAAGAAAGTTTTTGCTTGCGTTTATTTTATTTTGTTACGTGCCAGCAAGTTCATATAAAAAAAATCTGCCAGAATGTTAAATTCTTTTTTTTTTACCAAAAAATAACACAACCTTTTTATTGCAGACCGCCAAATCGGACCACATGACTCGTTAACCGTTAAACAAAAAAAATCAAGATGGTGGACACACAGCATTTTTGCCTCCGGTGGAACAACTACCAAAGCAGCATCACCAGCGCTTTCGAGAACCTTCGGGATGACGAGGACTTCGTGGACGTCACTCTTGCCTGCGACGGGAAGAGTCTGAAGGCCCACAGAGTGGTTCTTTCTGCCTGCAGCCCGTATTTCAGAGAACTCTTGAAGGTAAGATTTTGCCGCCCTTTTTGTTTTTTTTTTTTATTCACTAGGCATGTGTTTCATGCGACCTTGGCAAAATGTTTTTTTAAATATGGGGTGCCAATTTAATTTTTTTTATTAAATATTTTTTATAAGTAGTAGGGAACCTACTGCAATCAATATTTTTTGCCCGTTATTTTATTTATTAGGAAAAAATTTAAATATACCGCCTACACCTAAAATTATTTGAAAAAAAAAAAAGATAAATAACAAAACGAAAATTTTAAAAACCATGAAAAATAAATCTCAAATTTGTCAGGTGTGGGGTTCGAACCCACGCTCCCTCTCGGGAACCAGAGCTTAAATCTGGCGCCTTAGACCACTCGGCCAACCTGACTTGGCAGACTGCGACGAAATTATCGAACAGTTACCCGCGCAAATTTTTAACTTCACGCTCATTCAGCATGGTTGATAATTTAACTTAAACAATAGAGAAAACTTGATTAATTAATAAATCGGTTTAACTGATATGAAAAAAAAAACTACGACGTTTTATGCAAAATATGGATTTTCTTTAGATAGTTTTACATTGGGGTAGGCCTGTGTCCAGCAATGGACGTTATTTGGCTGAAACGAACTTCAGTTGTAATTAAGATTTTATGAATGACTAAGTATAATTTATTTTAATTATTAAAGAATCTTTATAATCGTATTGATAACAGCGAATAGTTAAATAGCGTGAAACAATGTCACATTTTGTAAGTACCTACTTGCTGATACTGACAGTGATTAAAATTCCTGCAAAAGGAATTCGTATTTTTATGAATTATTGACTATTTATAAATTACTAGCTTTTGCCCGCGGCTTCACCTGCGTGAAATTTAGTGTCACAGATTGGCATTAATTATAGCCTATATTATTATGTTAATCTGGGTTACAAACAATAATACTGTAAAGTTTCAACAAAATCCGTTAAGTACTTTTTGCGTGAAAGAGTAACAAACATCCAGACATCCAAACTTTCGCATTTATATTAGTAGGATTTAAATAGTATTAATGAAAGGCCATTTATATTAATTAGTAGATTCTTCTTTACCTGTTTGTAAAAATCGAAAATGTTGAAGGAAAACGATAAGTACATAATATGGGTAAATTTAAAAATTATGTCATTAAGTAATTCTTTCCTCTGAATCTATTTTTGCTCTTGTTAATATCGTTTAAATATTTTCAAATGGATGTTTGATAACTTGGGATATTTTGGGTATACACCTACGCGAAACATATTATTATATGTTATGTAGTTCAATAAAAAAAATGATACAGATAGGCATCAGGATGACTCTAGTTCACACACAATGTCCTATAAGGAGCTAACCAAATCAAGGACTAAATCACTATGCTATGTATGGTGTGTGTATGCTATGTGTGCTCCACGCGAGCATCGAACCTATGACTTAGTAACTTTTAAATAACTTACTCTGTGTTAGTAACTAGACCATTCTCTCACCGCATAGACTATAGAGGCGTTAAAAGAAAGCAAATAAATCGATTTGCGTTGTCATCAAAAAAAGTTATTACGCTCGATAAAAATTGTATCGCCTCTGTACTAAGCCATTTGAGCCGCCATGAATGCGATCCAGGGCGATTGGGAATTAATAAATTACTCCCGTCCGAATTGATATAACAAAAAATGATTCATTTATGAACACTCTCGTTCCGATTTGAATCAAATTTTTCTAGGCTAACCCGTTTAAATACGGCAGCTAACTAAATTATACGCTTAACCGGCTGATAAACAATCTATTGACAAATATTTCAAAGCTAAACTGAAAAAGTGTTTATGAAATTGACGTTTTGTATAGAGAATTTGAGAAAATTCAATTTTTCTTTTTCAAACGTTTTTGCCATTTTTGAAATTGTCTGATGATTTATTTGGTGCCCTGCGTGCCCAAACAACTGCACGCAAGAATATTTAATGAAAGCTACTGACAACAACGCCACTTTTGTAGCGGATTTTGGACTGACACTGTATAGGTTTGTTAGTAAAATTAAAAAAAATTTGACATAGCTATTGTATTAAAGAAATTATATGCCTAGTGAATATTGAAGAAAAAAATCGGCAATTTCATTTTTAACGGCTATTATTTTTATTATAGCTTCAGGAAGTATTGTACTCGTAATCAATCCCCAGGGCTATCTTCCAAATGGAATTAAGAATATCTCAATTTCCAACCTACCCCAATAAGGCCTTCCGTTACCTACAAAAGTAAACAAATTACAATGGGAATAAAATATTAGATTTCTTAAGTAACGCGATTACTTCACCCAAGGCCAAGTCCTGAGAGGTCTAGATTAATTTAGATTGCCAGAATCAAACAAAAAACCTTGATCCTTAAGACAATCCATTTTTAGCTTTATAAAATCGTCAGTTCGTCGAACATTCGTGAACAACATTAATTTCACTTACATTAATCGTATGCTGGTGTGAGCTACTGGACTTTCGAGTGTTCTAAACAACATGATTGTCAACTAATGCCTACTGCCCTAGTGGTACGTATACGCCAGCTATGATTGCGGGTTCGATTCCCGCTAGAAGAATATGGTAATGGAAAATTTTTCGCCCAGCTTTATATCCGGAATCATAGACGTTTGCTCATCCTTGAAAACATTCGTGAGTAGACATCTATTGTATCAGACTGAAGCACATCAGACTACATTTTTGTTGTAATCTATACTCAACGTCAAATAAATCGCACCTTCCGCGACGCGAACTTTACAGATTTTCTTCTGACATAATCATGGTGCCCCAACAATATTGGTGTTATTTGAAAGCCCAATAAATATCCTTTAAGAAAAACACATTTAATTTCTTAATAAATGATTAACATATACCATACATGTGACTTGAAAAATGACTTCACTTTGGGCTCACCTGTGGGATCAAAAAGACCAATTTTTATGGTTATAAAACCAAATAATGACCCCAAGTTAGTGTCCTCTTTAACAGATGGATAGCGATTAATCCCAACTTAACAGTTTTATAGCCATAAAAGTTGGCTCAAGCGTAACTACCTATATTTTGAAGAAGTGACTCTGGGTCCTTCTAAAGACACATTTTTGGGGTAAAAGCCTTTCCTTTAATGAAATTAAGCTTAGAACTAGGCTTTCAAATGGTACCAATGTTGGTGGGAAGTGAGGATGCATACTTTTGAAAAGTGCTTGTTGCGGGAGGTGCGATTTATTTGATGCCGAGTGTAGATAACTCAAAAGTTCCACTTTGTTTCCGCAAGGTAAACTCGCCTGAAACTAAAGCCTGGTCCGTGAGCACGTAGAATCCCGTTCAATGACCCCAAGCTGCCCATCCTTGTCGCTCGCACGTAATTATGTTACTGTCGCGCTCGCACACTCACTGCGGGCGCGCGTCGCACAGTCGCGACAGCAATATAATTACGCGCGAGCGATAAGGATGGGTAGCTTGGGGTCATTGGACGGGATTCTTTCTACGTTCTCACGCTTTAAACGTTGTAACATTATTTTTCAGTGCAGTCTATGATGGTCTACTGTAGGTCACTTACCATCAGATGATCCATCAGCTCGTTTGCCTCCTGTCACATAAAAAAAAGGTAGTATAATGCTAAAACTGTCATAACCCAACCAGCTGTTCTTTTACAGTCGACGCCATGCAAGCACCCCGTGATCGTGCTGCAAGACGTGGCGTTCACGGACCTCCACGCCCTGGTGGAGTTCATCTACCACGGCGAAGTCAACGTGCACCAGCGGTCGCTGTCCTCCTTCCTCAAAACCGCCGAGGTGCTGCGCGTGTCAGGACTCACGCAGAACGAGGATGTGCAGGTGGTTAGTTGCTATACCAGGTTCATCAGGCAGACCATCGATCATCTTTCAAAATTTACACCATTCAACATTCCTTTGTATTTATGCTCCAGGATTACAAGGCGGTTTACATTGACCTTATTCTCCCCTTCTTCTTTCTCTGTTATCGACTCCTAAAAACCCATTTCGTTTACGAAGAATTGAAAGTGTAATATTTAAAGTGTTACTTTATAGCTAGCCTTTTCCAAAAGTTAGACTAAGTATGTTATTCTTACGAGTAGATAGGTGGTGCAGTGTTCAACAAACGGGATCGTTCTCTGGGACCTTGGGAGATGCTTTCGCCCAGCATTTGACTGCCGTTGGCTGAAATTACGAGTCCTCGTATAAATCACAATCCTCCTTTTCCAAAGGATTGCTTACCAATCTAGCTCATCTAAGACCTACATTTACTACTAGCTAACACAAGGAATTCCGACAGCTGCTGCAGACGGTGCCACCACCACTGCGCCGTCTAATCAACTTCATCCCCATACAATCCCACCAGGGTCACCACCACCGCGCTGTCATCATCCCCACTTATAAGATACCGTTGATATTATATCCTAACCCAAGCTCTCCCACAGCCGCTGCTGCAGATAACATCACCGTCACCGTCTTTTGATTGATTCTAACTCAAGTTGCTCCCACAGCCGCTGCTGCAAACGGTGCGCGCCACCACCACCGCTCCGTCGCCGCACACGCCGCCGCACCCCGCGCACACCCCGCACCCCGCCCACACGCCCAGCTACTCCGAGAAGCTGGAGGAGGCGCTGACCATCCCGCCCAGCCACGGCATGCGCCGCATCCCGCTGCCGCCACGCCGCATGAGCCGATCCGCCGACAACTCGCCTGACGTCATCAAGCGCCCGCGCCACGACAACAACAATGACCAGGTGATGATCTAGTTCTAGATCTTTAACTTTTCGTATGTCTTAGCAGCACTGATCAGGACGAGAAACAAATACTTTCGCATTGTGATTGTGTCTGGAATCTCGGCATTCGGCCCGTTAATAAAAAAACCGTTACCTTTTCTTAACTAAAAATCAATACGCTGGCTAGAGGAAATCTATGAAACTGATAAAAGATTCTGGCGATCTGGTGAAGGTCGCGGGAGGCGCCTGGATGCGAGCGGTGCAGGACCGGTCTTTATGGAAATCCTTGGAAGAGGGGCCTTTGTCCAGCAGTGGACGTCTTTCGGCTGAAACGAACGAACGAACGAAAGATAAAAGATTCACCATCGTTTTACCACTAGCTGATAAAATTCGATTAGGAACTTATTTTCAAATCAACAGGTACTACACATTTGATTTCCCCGGTCTTGGATAGACATAATCTGTCTGATTTCTTGATCGAGATAGCGCTGTTTTGGCAACTCAGTAGATATAAACTCTACATCGACGAATCCACAATCAGTAAACCAAATTTTACCGATTACACTTCCAGCTTAGATGCAGTCCTTTATAAACTTAATTTTATGAGTTCTCATAACTATCCACCAACTTTTTAACCAAGATCCTCTCGATTTCCTCCAACAGCCCCAAATCCACGACTTCTCCACAAAGAACCACTCCCTGGTGAACAACACTCGCGCCCACGAGTCCGGCAACAATGGGAACGGAATCTCCAACAGCAGCTCGTCGCCGTCGCCGCGGCTGATGGACGAGGTCAAGAACGAACCCCTGGACATGATCTGCGTGCCAAACGCCGACATCGATAGGAGCACGGACGACACGCCGCCGCACCACCATCGGACGCTGGTGAGTTTAGAAAGCTGTTGGTTTAGCAGGACTTTCAGTGCGAGACGATCTACCAAAGGATTTGACAGGACTTCTGTGGCTGAGAAAGACCAATTAAAAAGATCCTCCCGTTGCGATATGAGCACAGGCGACACGCCCCTACATCACTATTTGTTCATTGGTGTAATAGAAAGGTCTGCGTGCCCAACGCCGACATCGATAGGAGCACGGACGACACGCCGCCGCACCACCATCGGACGCTGGTGAGTTAGAAAAAATACTGGATTCATAGGACTTCCTCTGTGAGACGAGCTAGCCTGGACCATTAGACATTGGTGTAATAGAAAAGGTCTACGTGCCCAACACTGACATCGATAGGAGCACCATCGGACGCTGATGAGTTTAGAAAGCTGTTGGTTTAGCAGGACTTTCAGTGCAAGACGATCTACCAAAGGATTTGACAGGACTTCTGTGGCTGAGGAAGACCAAACTAAAAAGATCCTCCCGTTGCGATATGAGCACAGGCGACACGCCCCTACATCACTATTTGTACATTGGTGTAATAGAAAGGTCTGCGTGCCCAACGCCAACATCGATAGGAGCACGGACGACACGCCGCCGCACCACCATCGGACGCTGGTGAGTTGGAAAAAATACTGGATTCATAGGACTTTCGCTGTCTCATAGAACTTCAGAGGCGCTTCGTATCTGAAAGACTAATTTGTTAAGACTTCCTCCGATAGACATGCTAGAACGATCACTATCGAACACTGGTGAGTACGAAAGCTATTGGTTTGACAGGAATTCTACTATTGGACGAGCTAAAACGTGCACCATCGGATACCTGTAAGTTGGCAAAGCTGTTGGTTTAACACTTCCAATTCAAGACGAGGTTGGACGATACCCCACCTCACCACCATTGGATACCGGTAAGTACGAAAGATATTGGTTTGACAGGACTTTCGAGACGAGCACCTGCACCATCGGACACTGGTAATTTGGCAAAGCTGTGGGTTTGACAGGACTCCTGAGGCTGACGAAGACCAAGCTAAAAAGCTAGTACGAATAGATTGGCCTCCCATTGCGATATGAGCACGGACGACGCGCCCCCACGTCACTGGACATTGGTGTAATGGAAAAGCTGCTGGTTTCACAGGACTTTGCTTCAGAATCTCCACTGGGAGGGTATTAATTTGACTTCTTTGAGATTGAGTTTTTTCGCTGAAAAGCTATGAATAAAGGACAATGTTCGTTCTCCATACATTGTTCGCCTAAGAACCAACAATTTTGACATATTACTACCCGAAAGCGAAATAATACGATTCTGTGTGTAAGAACAATGATTCCTGATGGACACTTGCCATAAAATTAATGATTAAGAATATTAAATCACAGCGATTTTATAATATGTCGTTTATGACAACATGGCGTCTANATTTCTACTGCAGGACTGAACTTCCTTGGTGGTCTCCAAAGGTAATCGATTTGCATTATAAAGTGCAGTTGAAATCCAATCCAGAGACACGCACAACTATTTATGAATTATGCACATAAGATAATGGATATATCATGTCTAAAGTGTTTTAAGTTTACAAATCCGCAAAAAATGAAAATTCCAGTACATAAAGAAGAATGATAATTTAAATATTAAATTTCATTCAGCCAATGAATATTCTATTCCAGTTTTCCTATTCATCATTCATAAAATCTAAATTCCGAAACCTCCGTCCCAGGATAAGCATTAAAAAACTGTTGGTATTTCTAACAACGTACACTTCATTCATGATTCAATAAATACGAGTATTACGCTACTCAATGACCATACAATATCTATTATTAGAAAAATATTTCGCGTTAATTAATATTAATTATTTTTCCCCTTTGTAATGAAAAAGGTAAATTATTTCATAATTAAACATTGAGCCAACCGATTTCAATAAAGTTGCTTTTTTGTAATGGAGAACACTTCAACTTTTTGACAAAATCGCTCTGGCCTTGGCCTTTGCCATAGAGCAATTATTTTGGCGCAGAAGCGATTTTCAAAAAAAAAAAAGTAGGCACAATAACATGAATCAATTGTAACATGGCTCAGTCAGCAATGCTATTATTATGCGACGTTGACAATAATATTGATATGCAACTAGACTAAATACAAATACCTTCGATGGGTGACCTTGTCGCGGCAGACAGCGCGTCTGTACCCGGAACGCGCGGTGTCGGGTGGTCGGGTCCGGTTCGAGCATCCCAAGTGGTCTCAGTACTAACTGGTCGTTTGGTGATTAGGACACTCATGTTTCAAATCAAATCAAATCATTTATTTAGTGCTTAGGCCCTTTTCAGGGTAAATAGTTGTACACATCCCAAATATAAGTTGGCCTACCACTACTTCGGGACAACATAAATGGGCTGGTGTTGAAAAGAAGGGGAACAAACTCAGTCAGCTTTGTCAGTTTTGGGTATAATTCTAAGTACGAAAACCAATTTTGAATAGACTGGCCTAACTAAATTCAAAATTTGCTTACTCAGTTCTCATTTTTAACGACTTTTTTCTCAAAATGATATTAGATAACATCTAATTTTGAGATTCTTTTAGATAGAATGTAATGTACGGTAGTTTTTTTTTATTTACACCCCTTCCGCCACACCTGACTTGTCTGACTCAAAAGCTTCTTTCGACTATATTACAAAGGCGTGAAATCAAAGCTATATTTCACACAATAATAAATAAATAAACCTTTTTATCCGCAGTATTCCAAGTTACCGCCCTAACAGCATTTACATTTATTTCGGATCCGCGAACCGTCCTTAGATTACCCACTAGGTATTTTTACCGTAAAAAAGTTTCTCTATTTCAAAGTTAGATTGGAAGGCTAACTTAAATAGTTGATGAGACGAACTCGGAGTTAATACAACATTTTTAATTTGATTTATGAGATATCTGAGTCTTTCATTGCGTGGATCTCTGACCAAACTTTTGAACTACTTAAATGTTCTAAGATCGTGATTTAATACTGAAGTTGTGAAATTATATAGTGCTGTTGTATAATGACCTGGTAAATAATGGGTGAATGACTGAAAGCACACACAAAGTTGTGATGATGTAGGTACTGAATGAATTGTTTTGAGCTTGAATGAAATGTACAATAGTGTACATTTATGTATTTAAATTCAAATTTCAAATCTGTCAATAGAAGATAACAAAAAACAAATTCTTACAGCAATTCAACATCAAAGAACGAACGAACGAGGACGTAGGAAAAACGATATGAGTCGCCCAAAATGTCTCATCATAGAGTAACAAAAATCCAAAACAGCACTTTAATGCCTACTTATTTCTGTCGCAGGGAGGCCCGCCATCCCGCGGCAGCTCAGCCGAAGCCGACGACCGCACGCCCCCACCACAGATGCCACCTTCGCCATTCGTCCCGCCATCGGACACGAAATTCCCGCCTTACCATTTCAGCATGGCGCCACTCTCTGATACATCTCTCTCTGGTAAATATTATGTTTGATTGATGTTAGATAATGTATTGTGAAGTGATTAGTACGCGGTATTTATGGGAGATTGCTGATCCCTGACGCTGATGTTCTGCTTTTTGTGATAAAAATAGTTAATGGAATTTATTAATAAACCGATCGTAAATATATTTATTTATGGGGTTACTTTTAAAGAGAGACGACTAAAATTATTATCGATAAAAAATGCAGTAAATTTTATAAAATTAAATAGTATCGAAACCCTTGGAGTGCATAAGAACGATGGTAAATTTCCAGGGTTGGTGAATCCTCTGGTGTCAGACAGCATGGCAAGCACGTCTCAAGGTGAGTTACAGCTTGTCTAGCAACAAGTTTATTTTATGCATACCTACATATTGAAACAAACGATATTTTTAATGCACTGTCTGTCGTATGCCACCATCACCGCTTCCTCTCTGCTCTGTCATTATTAGGTTTATATATCATTACTAGGTTTTATATTTTTTACAAAATGTATGAGGCAATTATTACGTGATCTATAATATATATTATGTATTATAATTATATATCCTCTTAACCTCTATATATGTCTTCATTTTGTGCTCTGTGTTCTGTATTAAATATTAATGTTAGCTTTTGTGTTTTGGTTCGATGGAGACAAGTAGGTATAATTTCAGTTTTGTTGATCAGATCGATAAAGAAAATCAGTTCTGGTTGCTAGATGATGTTTGTCATTGAACCAAAATGCAATGTGGCGTGCATGTTTATTGTATTGTAACATAGTTTAATGTATCCTATACAGGAAAATGCTAGCTTGTTTTCTAGATGTGACTTGAACAATGTGTGCTAGGCAAACCCTCACTCCCATGTCTCCAATTAAGGTTATTATTTCTTTTGAGTTCATTTTATTTTCAATTTTAGTTCCTTCTTTCTTGTCTTTCTTCCGATTATTTTCAATTTCCTTTAGACCATTCCAGTAACTTCTAGTTTTAAAAAATGCGTTGACCATCAAATGCACTTACCGCTGTTATAAAACAATTGGCTGTTAAAAATGAATTGAAAAAAAAACGAATCTAAACGAAAGAAGACATTTCAAAATTTTCCTCGAACTCGCTCACCCGTCGGATTGCGGCTAAGTCGTATTTACTTATTGCGAAGCATAGCGGATCCCATGAATCATTCTTGTTTCTAAATAACCTCTCAAATAACCATTAAATCGCATTGTCTTGGGAAAAAATAGCGTGTAAATTAATAACTGGGGACATTCAAGATTGGACAATGGAATTTAGTAATGCTAACGTCGTATCACATTATTTAAAAATACGCTCAATTATTTCATTGAAGAATATTAACGTTTTGTTGAAGATATTCGAAACTGCACTGACAACGACAAGTCTCACAGATTGTTATGAAAACAATCGATTTTTTTATTCATCGCACACTCATTGCTGTAAAGCTTAACTAAGCTGTCTCTAAACGATCGATTAGGAATCGAACAAAGTTTAATTATGCGTTACTAATACCGCTTCGCATTATTCGGCGCGACGGATGGCTATCATCAAATGTAAAGGGGGGTGGCGGTGCTTAAGAGAGGCTACGATAAGGAGAGTGCATTAAAACTGCGTTCGGAAGATTCGGAAGGGCTAACTGCTTGTGTTGTGACCAGGTGGCGCCCGCACCCCCCAAGAAGATTACAGATGCGAGCCCTGTAACAAGAGTTTGTCTTCCCTGACGCGGCTCAAACGGCATATTCAGAACGTTCACATGCGACCCTCCAGGGAGCCAGTGTGTAACATTTGCCGGCGCGTATACTCCAGCCTGAACAGCCTCAGGAACCACAAGTCCATCTACCACCGCAAGCAGCAGCAGCCGCCCGCAAGCTCGGCCGGCCCCTTCTACCCCGTCAACTGACGCGCGGCCCGCCGCCGCCCCGCCCCGTTGCCATACGCACGCACGATGCCATTCGAAGAAACCAAGCTGCCATCCTAACCACCTAAACGCCATAGTCTTGCCCGTAGACCTGTGTTAAGTTAAAATATGTAACGCGATATGTTCCTAACATTTGTACATAGCATAGTTATACATGTACTTGCATGCGCATCGCAGACTTCTATCATATATATTGTATCTATAACTTATATCTTACGCTTACGTGCGAGCGTAGACCGCCGGTATCGTCGCGTTCTGGATAGGTACCGGACGGCGCTACGCTTGCACGAGACGTCTCACCTATCTGGAACCAATTGGGACATCTATGATCGGTACACACATAACCACCAACGTAAAGTGAGCGCATTAGTCAATTTTGTACACGTTGAATTGCCTCTACAGCCCATTCTAAATTTCAAAGTTAGCGGTACGATTTGTGCCAATTGGTTCCTTCGATATGGGACCCGTTGGATGCGAGCGGTCGCAGTGGTGTTGGATACGACGCCGGAGGCGAGGCGTTGACTAATGCGCTAATGTTGGTTGTTATGTGTGGCGCAGTGGGCCCGCTGGGGGCGGGCCACCGCTGCGAGGTGTGCGGCAAGCTGCTGTCCACGCGGCTGACGCTGAAGCGGCACACGGAGCAGCAGCACCTGCAGCCGCTGCACTCGGCGCGCTGCTCGCTGTGCCACAAGGTGTTCCGAACGCTCAACTCGCTCAACAACCATAAGAGCATCTACCACCGGCGCCAGCGCGGCCTGCCGCAGCAGACGCAGCCACAGAACCTCACCACCGCCGACGCCAAGATCACCCCTCCCCACCACAACATCGACTTCTACAAGTTCAAAGATCAGTTCAACGTCTAAACGGGCGTGATTCGAATTTTATTTTTACACTTAAATAATTACTTTAGAACGGGATTCGTTGATATATTTTATGTTAATACTTTTTAGATTTATATTTTACAAAATGTTTATTTTCTATTTTAATCAACTTTGAACTTGTAAATGATCTTGATAGGATTGAGTATACGACTCTACATCACACGAGTTCGACTCGAGCATCTCATGGCTTAGACATTCCAGTTGTTAGGAGGGCGACTGATCGTTGTTACTGTGTGGGTAGACCGGAGCCCGGATCGACCTCGACACGCCCCATGTGCAATACTGCGGTACGTGACAATTCCTGACTTTTTACACTATGTTTAATGTGTGACAATAAGGCGAAGAGAAAAAAATATTTTGAGAAGATGAAAAATCTTGGTGCTGTAAATTTATATATTAGGCTTAAATTTATAAAAAAAGAACAGTGTTCGAGTAAGTAACAAAAGAGGCATATTGTTTTCAAGATTGTGTTCATTTTTCGGCGTTTTGCAATTTAATTATTCTGTATTTACCTGCATGATCTCACTCTTAGATATTTATACGAGATTACTAAAACTATTTTAAAAAAATATTAAAATTATATACTTACACAGATATATAATTGGCTTATGAGGCTTTTCAAATTATACTTTTTATATTTAGGTGTTGTTTTGTTCATTGAATTTAAGACTGACGAGTTCGAAGCACCAATAGAACGAAAAATTGAATTTTTTTTCTTCAAATCTCCACCCGCAGAAGCACAGTCACAGCAGAAATAAACCGGATATACAATAGCCCAACACAACCAGACATACACACACAAGCATACTACCAATATGCATACTTATACAATGTAAACTTATACATCAATTTGTCAATTTGCTTTTTATTTCCGAAGTTGACTTTTATTTTTCTATTTTTTTTTTAATTTCTGGTGATTTTTAGGCTCGCGCCTATCGTTGCTGTCTGTACTTTTTATTTAAATAATAATATCGCCGTAAATTCAATCAATGCACAAAAATAGCAATGATTAGCAAAGTGAATCGTAAGGTGCCATTTAAGCGAATGAATATGGCTATATTATATTTTTAGTTTAGTCACATTTTAGTTACTTTCAAGCGTTAGGTTTATACAATCCTTGTGTTCGTTCTTATATTATTTTTCGTTAAATTTCCTTACTAGCTTAGCAGTTTATTACTTTTCAGTAATATTTGTTTTTATACATTCAACAATACTTTGTACATTTACAACTTTCACATTTGTTGCTGTTTCGTTGTACAATTTGTAATTAAATTACACATATTATTATATTAACTACATAAATAGGTAATAGTAATAAAGTTTTAATAATTCTCAGTGTTAAATGTTCCTAAATTTGAACAGTGTGAATTTTTTAACAAAACTAAGTAATATTTGAAATCGATGTTTTTAACAATTTTTTGCTTGCCATAAATAGTCGTAATACTGTAATTATGGATAGCTCAACTTTACATAGTTATTATGTACAATACCTAAGCAGGCTCGTAGAGAGGCTCATAGAAAGTTGGGACATCCAGGCCAGCATTGTCCTTCGTTGTAATCTATCTAGTTCAATATGCATCACTACAGTCTAGGATGACATTAAGTCGCATTCACAACTGTTATATTTCTTTTACTATAATAGCAATAAGAAATCTTAAGTGTTAATGTAAACACATAATTTATTGTAAAACAATAGATACACTTTAAGTAATATTAGTGCCTGCTTTACATTATATTGTGTTCTTATTGGATAAAAGACATATTTTGCGTGACTTCTAACGTTTTAGGAGTAGTGTTCGGAACACGTCTATTTACCTAGTAATGGTCAGTGCTTTATCGACTTTACACTAACAACTAAGAGGCTTCCTAAAGTAATTTTAAATGCTAATATGTTATAAGATTCTGTTGTTATTGCTAGACACTTAAACGCTTAGCCATTACTATTTGTTTAGTTAATTAGTAAGCTTATTATTAAATTGGAAGACTAGTGTTTTGGTGCTAAATTGGAACGATGTTCGTGTTAGAGAAATCTTAAGGGAACGAAAAAATTCGAAAGTGGACTTAAAGTTTTGTTCGCAACATTCCGTATGAAGTGTTAAGTTTTTATTTGCGTCTCGCGATGTTCAAGTAAACCGTAGGATTGTTGTTTTTGTCTAGTAATTTAGTGATAGTTTTTCTTGTTAATTTGGGTTTGGGAATTAAGTTAGTTGACTAACTAGGAGTAAGGTTTATCTGAATTCATATAGTAATAGCTTCTACGTGTTTAATTTACGATTACAGGGATGTGCTGCGCAGGCACCCAGCGGATAGCACTGACGGGAAAAATTAAGAATTTATTTAGAAAGTCGAAAACCTTGTCTCTGATAAAAGCCAAAATTTAATAAGCGCTATAGACTGATTAGAGTAAGAACGCGTTTGAATTGTACACTATTAGGCATATTTTATAGATAAAAAATGTACATTATTTACTAAATTAATAATTTTATAAAAAAATTCGCTGTGAGAGCAAAAACAAGCGTGAGCTATTTCGGTTTGGCATTAGTCGAAATTTTGTGATTTGACATGATCTTTCTGTAGAAGTTTAGGTGCTAAGTTGTTTTGGGATCTCGGAGGCCAAAGGCCTGGAAGGGCGAGACTACACCGTGTTCTAAGGAGCAGGACACATCCCTGTCGAACTACATTAGTTAGGATCTTAGCAAGTTTAAGACTGTTTCTGTGACCTGTTTAAGTTTTTATCTTTCTAACTTGTTAAGGTGTTTTTTTTCAACGCAACACGCGTGCGACTTTATCCAATGTGTTCTTCTTGTTGGCATTTTTACTTATTTTATAAGGAATCTAAATTAATTTATTGGTTGTTGTATTGAAATTTTATATTTTTTTTTCTTAAATTATTATTCTACTGTCCGTAAAGTGTAGATTTTTGTTGACAATTGGCATCTGTGTAATGCAGTCCATTATATTGTTACGATTTGTTTCTCTAAAAGATGTGCCAAAAATATTGCGAGTTTTAAGTTTGTCTTCCATTAACGGAACCGTTCGTTATCAGAATGACGCCAAAATGTTTGAAACGTCTGAAATAATGGGCTGCACATTATGGATATTATATAACTAGGTATCTATCTAATGATTTACATCACACATTATATATTAATAATAGTTCTTTTCCTTCCTTACTTTATTAAAGATACTTGACATAACTACTCATAAAATGTAATGTAATCGTTAAACCGAACTTCATAAATCCTAATATTGATGATAATGGCGTTTTTAATAAAAACAAATATACAAAACTATTGCCAGTTTTATTGTCCGACGAGAACCGCCCCGAGACTTCTTGCTGCGGCACGCTCACGCTTCGCCACGGTCTCTGCCTCCGACTTCACTTCTGCATGTCGTTGTTAACACATCACCGGCCATGTTGCTTTGCCATCATTTTTTATTTATTTATTTTTATTTTGTACTTACAAATTTTTAGTTTAATTTTATTTCTCACTTGTTTTCACTCCGTTAACTTTGAGTTTTGAAATAGTAAATGCAATTGAGATTAGCGATGCCCAGTTAGGCTGACGCGTGAGTCGCGAGGGGACCCACCCCCATATTTGTTTTGTTTCTTTCGATCTGTTTCCAGGTAAAAAGTTATTCTCGTGTTCGATATGCGGCAAGGTTCTATGCTCGAAGGCGTCGCTCAAGCGCCATATCGCGGACAAGCACGCCGAGCGGCAGGAGGAGTACCGCTGCACCATATGCGAGCGAGTGTACTGCTCCCGGAATTCCCTGATGACGCATATTTACACCTACCACAAGTCGAGGCCCGGGGAATCGGAGCAAATTCGGTTTTTTTAGTGACTACTCGGACGGAGCTGGCGCGGCGGGCGGCAGAGCTCCTCCAGCAAGGAGAACCAAGCCCACCACAGCGCCCCACTTACCAGCCACAAAGGTTAGCCCCATTTATTGATAGGCCGCGACGCTAACTCATTAACGACGAAAACGTTAGGGTCAAACTCCTTTTCCGTTATTTTTCTATTTACTTTATTTGAATCGTTTCAACCTTTTTGTTTGTTATGTTTTACGCCCCGAGCCAAGGCCCCCTCCCATCGGGTTCGCAGTTTGACGTTGTTGTGTTGCTTGGAGCATGCTTCTATCATTTTGTTATCACGTGTTTCTGTGTCATTGTGGTTGAGAGAATTTCCTAAGATTTTGATAATTGAGAACTCGTGATTACTGTGTAGTTAGTCAATGTGTACAGTGCATATGATAGTTATAACCATACCTGTAAGCGTAGTACCGCGCGGGCAGTGGGCGGGCTCTAATGCGCGCTTTGTGTTGCAGCCGTGGCGCCGCTCCGTATGCCGCCGCCTACCGCGGGCGGCATCAACGAGCCCCAGGAGTGTCCGTACTGCCGCCGGACCTTCTCTTGTTACTATTCCCTGAAGCGACACTTCCAAGACAAGCACGAGCAGTCGGACACGCTGTACGTGTGCGAGTTCTGCCACCGGCGGTACCGGACCAAGAACTCGCTGACGACGCACAAGAGCCTGCAGCACCGCGGCTCCAGCGGCATGCTGAAGCGGCTGCTGAAGACGTCGGCGCTGCACAGCGCGCTGGCGCCGGCGCCGCACCACCTGTTCGACCTGGCCGGCGCCGAGCAGCTGCCGCCGGGCCTGCAATGACCTCAGACCATGGCCTGAATCTCTCCCGCCCGCCGCGCCGGGCGCCCCGCCAGGGAACCGTACCATGTGCAATAACGACGGACAATGCCAAAACAATGCACGCCGCATTCATGGGTTATTAATCGTATTATAATTAGTTAATTGACGTTAGGTTAACTCCATACAGTATTCGTGGCGCAGTAGCTCGCCTAGTGGACGCTTGGACTTCGCTTGTGACTGCGAGTGTACCCGCCGCACTCCCGGAGTGCGCGACCGTGTTCAAATGACAATGTAATCCAGAGCAATACTAAAGTATTAATATATCTAGTACTGCCAAAATAATGCCAACTGTATTTTAAAGAGGTAAAGATACATTTTTTAAAATCACTTTTCGATAAATATCTAGTGTCAAATTAGATTCGGTAACTGTACAAAAAAGAACGTACAAATTTTAAACAGTAAATTTTAAAATGGAAAGAAAATATTTTTTAAAGAGACTTTTTTCGGAACGCCAAATCTAAATTTAAAATACAGATTATTTAGGAGTTAATAACAAAAAAAAATAGATTAAAAATGTTGATGTTGTGTAAAATTAAAGACTTCTTAGAATCTGATTTCGAAAGTACAAAATTTAACGTCTAATTGAACAATGTTAATCTATTCTATGTGCGTTTGGCTTCAATAATAATTATGAGTAACGTCATCAATGTGTAAGTAGCCGTGCCTTCGTTCGTCTTCATGCCATTAATGTTGGTGTAGATGTAGCTGACCAGAATCGTGTGCGCAGTGAGCGATGGCGAACGAAAAGCTCGCGAGCAGCTTCGCCGAGCTCGCGAACGCGCGGTGCGCTCTCAGTTGCTCAAAAGCGAGCGTAATTATGTATAGCTGTAATCGACTTGAATGTACGAGTAGTTAGGATGAGGATAAGGTTAAGTCATCATTTTTATATTAGAAGTTTCCTTTAAGTATTTGGGCGTGCTGAGAGCGCGCCGCGGCGCAGCGGAGCGGGGCGGCGCGGGAACAGACGGCGAACTTGGAACGAGAATGCGAAGGGCATCAGACCCTAGAGGATCCTTCAATACAGGGTTAGTGTGAATTACGAGGATATGGGCGCCGGGTCGCGAGTCGTGGGTCTTCGAGTAGTTCGGCGATCGTATACGGATATGCATGATTTCAAATCATGAAGTAAAAATTAATCATTTCTTCTGTATAAATTAACGTAGACATTAGGGATTAATTGATAGATTTATATTTAAACTGTATCCATTTTCGGATTTCTCTCTATGAGTGTATAGTGGTTCTTTTAATGTCGACCAACGTAGCGGACATCTCGTTATTGAAAATTTATTAGATTATTATTATTATACTCTCAAAAATCTTAGGATTAACCATAAGATGGCTGCAGATTTGTAAAAAATATTTTATTTACTTATATTTAGGAAATTGTTTGGGTACCGTATTCGTTTACAATCTACATATCCGGTCAGGGTTCTCGACAACTATATCAACTCAAAGGAACAGTCATATCCAACATATCACAAATATCTATACATAACGAAGAAAAGTATTTTAATGCCGTGATATTTCGCAAAGCCAAAGAAAAAATTGACGGGGATAGTCGCATTTATTTCCGATAGAACTTAAAAAAAGTAAAAAATCTTAAAAAATCTTCTGACAAAGTTGAATTGTTTGAAATTGAAAATACAATTAGTGCCATATCGTCCGGGATAGCACCTCTCTATCGACATATCAAATCACTGAAAGTGACCGTTTTTAAAACACACAATGCACTCTTTCAAACAGATCAATGCAATTTAATACATAATTTAATTTTCGTACTATTCGCAATGTCAGACGAAGAACATATTTTTGCATTTATATTTCCAATGTATAAGTAAAAGCTAAGTATCTAATTTAAGTTTTCGTATTTTATTTTTCATTTTCGGAATGTTACATATTCTTACTTTGTGATATGATTTACATTAACGTTATTCGGTATGTATTCAGTTAGTTTTAACGATAGGTTAACGTAACCTCAGCTTCGTTCGGTTAAGGTAACTTTTGGTATGGACGCCGGTCAACATAACGCAATACCTCCGTATTTTCGTAGTACCTCAAATATATTATTTTGTTTTTAATTTTTATCTGAATGTTGCACTTACTGGATACAAAATAAGTTCGTTTGGTAGTGACGCAACAAGTACGACACAACGGCAACACAGCTGGAGCTTAGGCAAGAAAAGCAAGCGGGTAGAATGAATTGTAAATAATTTATAAGTTAGTATCTACATACATGGCGTCATTTTGGGAATAGACCTCGTGATATTATATAGTAAATAGATAAAATCATTAATGGAAAAGGATTTTTTATATTCTACTAATGGATTTATTATTAGTGAAACTTAGATGTAGTGGACGAAACTTTTGTAATGTTTGTGTTTATTGTTTCCGCTGTGTCTCGGGTCGGCTGTTATTGTTAGGGCTTTTTGGAGCTTTTTTGGAATTCCCACCAATTTTGTTTGTTGATTTTTGGAGTGATTCGAAATTGTTTGATCTCAGTGGACAGCTGCGAACTATATCAAAATTTCGGGGACAGTTTGTTATCGTGATTATTGATAAAATTAATTTACGTAAAATTAGACTTGTGTTGTTTTCGTGTCGGCAAAAAGGAGGTCGCAGCTAGGAAATTCAAAACAGCAAATTGCAACGTTAACAGCGAAACAATAATATTTTATATTTTGCAATGTATACCAAAATACTGCATTTTTAAATAGTAAGAAAGTGAGAAACAGTTTATTTGTTTAATATAATAATCCGGGTTTGATAATATTTTCGCTTCTTTGCCAGTTAGTTTAATTAAGTTTAATGAAGAAATATTTAATAAACCGACTGTGTTACTAAAGTAGGGTAATGCACAAATATTGATCAACAACGGTATGCCTTCTAACAGTACAACTATCTCAATAGCCTACTAGTTTAATAAATAAGAATTATATACTTCAGAGTGGCATCGCAAGGTACTTAACACTAAAAAACATCGGCATTAGTAACTACGTAAACGCATTGAATAAAAATTAAATAATTAAAAAGTAACTAACCACACGACTTTTAAACTTTCGTAATAAAATTAAATAATCAAAAATAAAACGAATTAAATAAACGTAACTACTTACTAAGCTATAGTAATATATTTTTAGTTTATACAAAATGTATAACTGTGCCGTAAATGTCATTCTGAGGTCGTCACAATTTATATTCGAATTCATTTGCGAAAACGTATTTTTTTCGAACGCATTTTAAAACTAAAAAATAATAGAAACATTGCAAAACCAAACAAATAAATATCGAATGAAACTAACAAACCCCACGTATGACGTGTTAATATATTTTTATCTTCAACAGTTACAATGTAGGTATTCAATTCACATGTTCACAAATCCTTCACAAATGAGTCTGTTTTAAGAAATGCTTTTATATCATAAGTATTACCTCCAGTAATATTAAGTATTACCTCCAACTATATCACTTAATTTTTAATATTTTTAATGTGGCGATAGTCGCCGACGACCGCTCGGGCGATGGCGGGCGACGTGTTAACTGGCTCGCCATTTGCCTGCCTTATCACCGTTAAAACAAAATGATAAATATAAGTAACGGAAACAAAAATCATCCTTAGTTACTTACGACAATACACATTGATGGTAAATGGTTATTTTCTACTTATATTTACCAGGTTGTTCATCCTCGCCGTAGCCGGAAAAATAACGTACTTATTTTTCCGGTCCGGCGGTTCGTATAACAATAATTATTGTAAATGTCAATCTAAGATATAACAGTTGTTACATAGTTTTTCCCATACACATACATACATTATTTTTGTTGATCCATTACCATGTTTAAAATGCAATAGTTATCTGTCCGCGCGGCCATCTTGGCGCCCTACGAGGTT